GTCTCTTATACACATCTAGATGTGTATAAGAGGGGGGTGCTGGAGGGCATGTAGGCCTGTCTGTTCCCCTTTTCTTGAACCCTAAACCCTCATCCCTTATGTACTTATGGGGGGGGGGATAGTGTAGGGGGAAGGATGTTAGGAGTAATGGTGAGCAGAGTAGGTGGGGGATAGCCTATTGGGGGTGGCAGAATTTGTCGGTGGGGTGGGAGGTGGAGGGGTGGGGGCTGCTGGAAGGCATGTAGGGCTGTCTGTTCCTCTTTTTATCAGGAAAGAGAGGTTGAGAGAGAGATGGAGTCGGGACTGTGGGTAGAGAGTTGCTGGGTTAGACGGTGTGATGTGTAATGAGGGCATTAGAATCAATGGGTATGTTTGATTGTGATGGGGGATGGAGTGTTGGTGAAGGGTGAGATGAAACTGTGGTCTGCGCTGGTGATAGTGTTAGCAAGTTTTTGAGGACTAAGTGGTCGTTTTTTATATCTCCTAAGAGGCCTGATCCTAGTTTTGCCGTTGAGAATTTATGGATCAATTCAGTTTTTTTGTCGGGGCCGCTGTTTATTTGTTTTAGGGCTTTGGTCCATAGAACTTGTAGTTCCGTTTCTATTGTCTGTTTTATTGTGTTGAGTGGGTTCTCAGGTGTGATAGGACAATCGTCACACCTTCTTTTCCATAGGCCCCAGATGATTCCTTTCCTGATAAGTATGAAGAAGAAAGCCTCAAAGCCTTTGAGGGGTGGGTTCTGATCTACGTCGAGGAAAATTGTGGCGGGGCTTATCGTCACGGACCTGTCAGAGAAGGATTTCCGTATGGTTTCCATCTCCTGCCATATGATTCCGGCCTCTGTTGGTTGCACACTTTGCACCAAGAATCTTGGTCTGTTCGGTTTGCCTTGTTGCGTCTCTGTGCCAGCCAGTGGTTAACTGGTACTGCCCTGTATGCGATTAACCAATGGAGGCTGGCTAGTCTGCCTGGTTTAGTGCTGAAGATTGATGACCAGGGTAGGGTTGTTTGGGTGTCTGTTATAGTGGGTTCTTCTTTTGTCCATCTTTTTTGTAGGATATTGGTTATTGAGATGGGTTTAGAAAGAAGATTGTAACCTAGTCTGGGGGTATAGTCAGTTATTTTGTGGAGTCGGAGTATAGTGGCTCTACGGATGGGGGTACTCCAGGTCCATTCCGCTAGATCTATTTCGAGTTCTTGTATACTTGACTGAGGTTTGACAACCTTGTTTCTTTCTCCTTCAATGACCCTTACTCTTCGCAGGGTGCTTGTTTTGAAGGTGCCTTCTGCTCTACTTTTGTGTTCAGGTAACTTGGTGGGTTCCCTGGTTCCTTGAGAGGAAAGATGTCGCAACAGATCCAATTGTTGTTCCGGTTTTCATAGTTTTTAAATCTGAGAACTTCTTGCACTTCCCCCGTTACCTTTATTGTGGCCCAATCTCCGTGTTGCCATCTCTGTTCAGATCGTAGTAGGCGCCTCCATTGCATGGGGATGCTTTCTATCATCTGGTTAATGTTCGTTTGCAGAAGATGTAGGTCTTTCAGGGTTAGCCAGAGTTCCTTCTCAGATTTCCATTCATTTGCTGCTTCGTTCCAGATATGCTGTATCTGCCATACTCCTCTTTCTACCCAATGTCCCGATTTGGCCTCAGATTTGGAGAGGGAAAAGCTTTCGCCGTTCTCGTTTTTGATCCAGGGGTTGCCGAAGAGGGGTTGCCTTAAGACTTCGTCTCTCCTTTTGGGGCCCAATCTGTTTTCTGGAAATATGTTCCTCCAGCTTCGTAAGATCTGGGCCTAGAGGGATTTTGAAGGTTCCAGATCGTGGTTATCTTCCTGCGTCGAAATTGGGGTGTGCTTTTTTTTGTCTATAGGGAGTGTCCAATGTTTGTTGAAGATCCAGAAGAGACCTGTCATGTTCTTGGGAGATTTGAAAGGGGCTATTTCCCTGATGTGGTCCAAGGCTAGGGGTGTCCACTGGAGGTCGTCTTGGAGGGATAGTCTAAGGATCCATTTGATTTGGAGGGCCTGAATCTGTCGAGATGGGTCTATGAGACCAAGGCCGCCCTTGGTTTTGGTTTTGGTGATCGTTTGCCAATCTACCTTGTGGATGAAATGGTCGTTGTCAGGGTTGCCTGTCCAGAGAAAAGCTGTTGCCTTTTTCCTAATTTGGCTTTGGAATTCGTCTGAGGGGAACCAAATGGAGGTGGTGTACCACATCATGGCTAGGATTGAGTTGTTCAGTGCAATAACTTTTCCTAGTAATGATGTGTGGGTTCCTTTCCATGTGTGCATTCTGTTAATCATAGAAGATAGAAGGGATGCTGCTGATGTACTGTGGCAACCTTTCATGTTGAGGTTAATCCCTAGAAATCGGAAGGGGGTGGACGGGTCCGACCAGAGCATTCCTTCAGGAGTGAGTTCAATGGGTGGTGGGTAGTCTGCTTGCCACCAACCTATTGTTTTTTTCCGGTTCACTTTCATTTCCGATGCCAGTTGGAAAGCTTGCATTGCTTTTGTTAGGGCTTGAAACGATGAATTGGATGCTCTGATGAGAATTGTAAGGTCGTCTGCGAAAAGGAGGGTGGTAGGTAGGTGTAATAGTTATCCTCTTTCATCCTTGACGTTCACTAGTCTGTCTATGGAGGGGTCTTTTCTCAGGAAGGCTGCGATGGCTTCCATTACGAATAGGAAGATGGGTGCTGCCAAGGGGTCGCCTTGCTTGACCAATCTTGACATTCTGTAGGGGTTGGATAGGAAGCCTTTGATTTGAACTATGCCCTGGGTGTCGTTAGACAATATTCTTACCCATTTCCTGAAGAATGGTCCCACTCCCATTTTTTCCATGCAGGCTTGAAGGAAATCCCAGTTTACTTGATTGTAGGCTTTCTCAAAGTTGAAAAAGAGGATTGCTGCCGTGACTTTCTTTTGATTTTATATCCTTTTTGTTTCGGTGAGGGTCATAACATTGTCTAGGATTAGTCTGCCTGGGATGAAACCTGTTTGGTCAGGGTGGAACCTGTGATTTTGTTGATTATGGAAGCTAGGAGTTCGGCTAGGATTTTGTAGGAGACGTTTAAGAGGGATATTAGTCTATAATTTCTGATGTCCTCCTTGTTTCCCTTTTTGTAATGGAGGGTCACAACTCCCGTACCGAGGGTGGGTCCTAACGATTCTTCTTCCCAGGCCCTGTTGAGAAAGTTTTGGAGTACGGGGCCTAGGGTGCCCCAGCTCGCCATCCAGAATTCTTTTGAGAGGCCGTCTCTGCCTGGAGCCTTGTTGGGTTTTGGATCTTTAAGGGCTGCATGGAGCTCTTCTGCTGTTATGGGTTTTTCTAGTGAGTTGGCTACTTCGCTTGACAAGGAGTGATCTAGATAGTTTAAGAATTTTGACCTGGCTCTTAAGGTTACGTTGGAGTCTCCTACTGGGGATTTGCTGCTGTAGAATTCCTTGTAGAAATTGGTTGCTATGCTTACTAGTTGCGTTGTTTCGGAGGTTGGGATTCCTTGTTCATTTAGTAGACTCTCAATCTTTGTGTTTCTGGCATTAGATTTGATCATACTTGCGGCGCATTTATGTGCTGCACATGCGCTATGCCCCATGCGCGCGCGGCAGGTGCGCGCGCATCGCGCACCTGCATGCGCCATGCGCCATGCGCACATGTCAGGTGCGCATGCGCTGGTGTGCGCGCACCTACGGTCCGTTCCCGGGGTTGGTGCGCCAGATGCCTCCCTCTGCTGCGTTGCACATAGCCTACCCAGAAACCAGCCTTTGTGTGCTCCCCCAGATGATTTGAGCAGAAAGCAGGGGTTCCCTCTCTCTCTCTCACACACACACACACACACACACACACACACACACACACACACAAGCAAACAGGCAAATTTGAAATTCAAAGGGAGGGATTATGAAATTCCTGCAAATGGAGGGCCGAAATGCGGAACGAGGAGGTTGCCAATACGTACCTGCAGGTGGTAAGAACAACCACGACCCCGTAAAAAGCAGATGACAGGTGCAAATAACAGGCATGCACAGCACATTGAAGCACACCATCATGAGATCACCAATCATGACCCCGTAAAAAGCAGACGACATGTGCAAGTAAAGAAGGCAAAAAAAAAAAAAAAAAGGTTTGCAGAGTTCATAGCTTCAGTTCAGAAAAGCAAAGTTGGCAAAGTTCAGAAAGTTCAAAGTTCTGAAATTGAAAATCGAACTTCATAGTCTCAAAGCTTGCAGAAGGAGTCTGGTGTGCGCGCACCTGCGGTCCGTTCCCGGATCGCCCCTCGCTTTCCTCTGAACTCTCACATGTGTCGTCCCCGTCTCGTTCATTGTGTTCCATGGACTCCACCCCGCTCCCATTGGCATCCTCATCGTCCAACGAGGAAGATGAGGATGCCGACGAAGGTGCTGCTGCCGCCTCATCGCTTGCTGCTGCTGCATCATTGTCAACTAATGCTGCCGCATCGTCGCCGCTTTTGCCATCGTCAATGACATTGCTGCGCGCCTTTTTCTTCCTCCCCTTTCTGGCAGTTGCACTTCTCGCTGCTGCTGCTGCAGCAGCTGCCTTTGCGGCCTTCGCTTCCACTATCTGGGCTTTCCTTTTTGCCAGCTCCGCGTTCGATGGTTGGCCCCTCTTGTGTTTCGGCCCTTGGTCCGCGTCGCTCCGCTTCGTCATCAGAACCACCTCCTCCACGTCCTCCCGTTGCACTCTCTTTTTCCCATGTTTTCTGCTGGTGGATGCATCCCCTGCACCGTCCACCCATGTTCCTGCAGCTCGTGCCTCCTGTTCTTGTGCCCGTTCCTCTTCCGTGAACAACACCAACTGTAAGAGTTGCGAATGGACAGATTTTCTCCGCAGCTCTCATTCCCTATAGCGGCCAGGTTTTGTGCACTCATGCTAGTCCTTATCCCTCGAGCCCACGAGGGCTATGTCCTCCGCCTCACACTCTTCGTCATCCCTCTCGTCATTTCGCAGCCAAATTCGCATAAGTGGCTCGTCTCCATCCTCCTCTTCCACCTCCGCGTCATCGGGTGTGTTTGCTGCGTCAGCGTTATTGGACATTGCCGTCACCACCCACGTGTTATACCACTCCTCAACTTCCGCCTCCACCGGTTGGTCATCCTCCCAAGGGATGTGGACCTCCTCCTTATCGCCACGGATCCAACTCCGGATCAATTGGGTGTTCCAGTTGTTGAACACCAACTTTGACAGTCTCTCCGGCATGAGCTTCGTGCGCCGTCTTCCAAAAATGAGCTCATGCAAGCTCCAATTCCGCTCGCATGCAGCGGACCAGCTTGGTTGGCCAAGTAATTTGACGGCTTGCAGCTGCAGAAGGTCCAACTTCCCCCCAAATGCTTCCCACCACAAGGTCGTCGGTTTCACACGCTCTGCCTCCGTTAGTCCACATATCGACTTCCCGGCTCAATTCGTCAAGGATGGCTCTTTCTTTCGGCGCCCACGAGTACAGCCGAATGTTGAAGCCCGCACGAACCTCCCGGTCCCGCTGTGACAATGCACTGTGCCGGAACTCCGGATCAAGGAAGGAAGGCGTGCAGTGCAGCTCGCTCGTCATGAAGGACCACTGATGCATCAGAATGTCCTCGATGTCGGCCTTCTCACCCGGGGTGACACAGTCGAGGCCACGCATTCTCTCGACGAGTGCATCCATCTTGAAATAGACCTTCGACATTGTCGCGCCTGGCCCGTCAACCACGAGCAACAACTCCACAACAGGAGTCATCACTATGAGGGCCTTGTCAACCTTGTCCCAAAACCCGTCCCGTCCCAGCACGATGGAGGTGACCTCACGAAAAGCAGCGAGTTGATCTGCCCTCACCATCTTGTCCACCCACGCCGTGTCGCGGACACACTTCTCTAGTGCATTCCTCCCTCTCCGCAATGAAGCCAGCATGTCATGACTTGTGGCGAATCGGGTGACCGCTGGCCGCTTTAACTTCAAATTCGGCGAGAATTTGTCATACAAAGCCCTCGCCTTATCCACATTCGTAAAAAATTTGCCGACTGCATTCTTGGCGTCGACTACCGCCACCAACCAACCGAGCTGCTTGTACATGTCCTCGAGTGCTAAATTGAGGGCATGCGCTGTGCAGCCAACACGAAAAATCTTGAGGGTAAGCAGCCTCCACCATCTTACCCGCCTTCACGCACACTCTTGCGTTGTCCATGACAACGCCAACCACCGCGTTTGGCCCAATCTCCTTGATGACTCCATCAAGGATCTTGAAATACGCCGCCACGTCTTTGTCTCTCCCCTCCATGCACACTGATTTCCAGAAAACAGTCCCTATCGGGGACGACACCATCACATTCAGATGGGGGCGGTTGCGTCTATCAGACCAACCATCCATCTGAAGCATGCAGCCCGTGACCTACCACTTCGTGATCATGGCTGTCACATCTGCCCTCGCCCTTCCGAACGCGCCGTCCAGCCTCTTCGTCCATGCCTCGTCCCTGTTGTATGGCAACCATGAAGGATGCGCCTTCTTCACCACATCGATGAACTCGAGGAAGTACTCGTTGTCAACGAGACTGAACGGTTGGTTCGTGCAAAAGAGGAAGTTATCGAGGAAGCGGCTTGTGTGCTCATTACGAGTAATGATGCTGTCCGCGTCCTCGATAAGAGTCTGCCTCGTTGGCCGACCTGTTTGGGGCGCTGCAGGGGTGGACTCCCCGGAAGCCGCCACCGGCAATGGTACACCGCCAGCATCGGCCGTTCCACGGCCAGCACCCATCGCTCCAATGACCAGACTGCTGGCAGATGGAAGGTTGCTGGCTGGTGTAGAACTTCTTCCCCCCTTTTCAATGAGCTCTGTGAGGCTCTAGTCCAGGCTGCACCTCGTCAGGAAGTGGTTTCTCAGATTTGATGCTGTCCCGTCAAATCGGGTCTCGCAGTACCTGCACACCCAATGTTTGGACCCCTTTCCTAGGTTCCTCCCTGCTGGACCATCGTCCCCAAAGTGCTGCTTCAAGTCCTCAATCAGCTGCTTCGAATGAGCGGGTGCCATTGCCGCTGTCACCTGCATCACGGGGATGGCTGCAACGTCAAACGCAGGTCAGCCCCTCTAAGGACAACTCTTTCCCCTCGTCCCCCTCCACCCTCTCCCCTCTAATCCACCTCGACTCAACATCTCTCCCTTCTTCTTCATCCCCCTCCCCCCTCTTCAACGTGTGTACCACAAAAAAAAAAAAAAAAAAAAAAA